TGTATCAGAGTATTCCCACAGGCTGGCAGCAGACTGTGGGCTGCACCATTCAGAGGACCAGAGTTTAAACAGCACAGAAACATTGGCAGCAGCCACATGTGGGAAAATGGGGAACATTGCTTAAGGGACATAAACTAGACCCCTATCCTTAGCCTCCCAAGGGTTCTGTGAGTGGTTATTCCTGTCCCATCTCCATGTAAGGAAACTATGAAGGACTTTCCCAAGGACTCATTGGCTGATTGTGGCCCCACAAAGTTTGTATGTTGAGGGCACGTGGAATGGCCCAGTGTGTAAAGGTACTTGCTGCCAAGGCTCTCGACTGAGTTTAAACCATGGAACCCATTAGTTTTTTTTTTTTTTTCCTCTAATTTCTACATGCCTTCCATACAAAATTAATTGATTTTAAAAATTCATGTACTGAAGTCCTGTTGTCTTGTACCTCAGACTGTAAATTTATTTGGAAGTAGGATCAGTGCAGATGTGATACATAAGATGAAGGCATACTGACCTGCAGACCACCATACACCCAGGAGGAAAGCCATGTGGAGATGAAAGCAGAAACTCGTGATTCTTCTACAAGCCATAGAACACCAAAGATTACGAGCAAACCATAAAAGGCCAGGAGAGGCACCTGGAATGTTTGCCCTTGTCACCTGCAGGGTACCAGTCTGGCAATGGTCCCTCCTAGACTGCAGCCCTCACAGTCATAGATCCATACATTTTGGTGTTTAAGTCTCTCAGTTTGCGGTACTTGGATATGGCAAAGTGATGGAATAAATACAGCTCTCCAGAAGGTTCCCTGCAAAACCAGGATCTGGACCCTGTGGTTTTCGGTTCGGCACTCTCTCTCCATATAACAGCTGTCTCAGTTTCAATCTCTTGTGTCTTGATAGTAAGACTAGCCTTCTGGAATAGATGGCTTCCCAGTTTTGCTAAAAGGTCACAGCATTTGGTATGAAAAGGAGAATGAGGAGTAAGGTGTGCACAAATGTTCTCAAGCAATCTTGAGGGAGTGGCAGACCCATTTAAGAAAAGCCTGTGCTAAAACTGACTGTTCCCTGAATCTCACAAACATTCTTACAGTGGGTGGTAAATATGCAAGAGATAAAATCTGTATCCAGTCGAGAACCATTTCAGATTCCTCTGAATTTAGACGTGGCAACAATCAAAGGCCAGGCTCCCATAAAGCAAGTTTGTTCTTTAGCTTGGTGGCAGGGGCAGGAGGGAGGGTGGGAGAGGAAGACATTCAGCTAATTAATTATAACAAGTAGCCCGACCTGTAGGTGAGCCTCCCTCTCTCTCCTGAGGCTACCCACTCCTGGATTAGGTGGGATCAGTCAGTGTATCCAGATAAAGAATGAGACAAAAATCCTGGGTGAAAAAAAATTAAAAATTTAAATTTCAGAAAATGGTCACCGGACTAGCGATTTGGATTCAATTGACCTCTGGGGTCACCAAATGCAAATGAATCTGGCTCTGTTGACTCCTTCAAGTGATCTGAACAATGACATTTGGAAGCCCTCCCTCCCCACAGTGCTTATGAAGCAGAGACAAAAACATGAATCAGCTGCCTCCAAAACGTGATTCATTATCCGCTCCAGTCTCAAGGGCTTTTATGGTGAGACTCCACATCTGTTAAAGGTCATCCTCAGCCCTCCAGCGTGTGAAGTAGGCCTGCCAGCCCCCCTGATGACAGTATGCACAACCTAATTGCAGGCTGCCCTCTTTGATGACCGAGCAAGTGCTGCCTTTTCTATCCCTGGAGTAATTTGGAGCCGCACATACGCTGTGGTCCTGATGTTGCAGCTGAGGATGGCTCTCAGATGATCGCTCCGCAAAGCAACATCATTACAGTGCTAACATTTGCTCTAGGATTACTATAATCATGTGTGAAGTAAGCAGTGCTGACTCAGAGTGGCACAGATTTGTAAATGACACAGCGTTACTAAGCGAGGATTTGCACACAACTGATTCCCCGCCTTTCGTTCAACATTCTGTCACTCAATTGTTCAACCATTTGTACTCCACAAACTAGAGAAGAAAAATGACTCTTCAGTGTCTTGGTTAAAATGGGGTTGCATTTTAATAGATAATGCCGATGATGGTGATAATGAGTATGGTGATGATACTGGATGATACTGCTACTGCTGTTGATGTTAAGGATGCTAATGTTGATGTTAATGATGCTGCTGATGGTAATGATGCTACTGGTGCTAATAGCAATGATGCTAAAAATGGTGGTGGTGGTGGTGCCGCTGCTGATGTTGGAAATGCTGCTGCTGCTGCTGCTCCTAATGGTACTGCTACTAATGATTATGGTGAGGATGCTAATGTAGGTGGTGGTGGTGGTAGTGCTGATGCTGAAGATACTCCTTTTGCTGCTGATGCTAATGATGGTACTGATGTTGATGGTGCTGATTATGATGATGATGATAATGCCAATGCTACTGTCGACAATGGTGATAATGTTGAAAATGATGTTGCTGCGGATTGTGGTGATGGTGAGATGATAATGATGGTGATGATGATGTTTGAGTCATCTGGATTTCTGCTTTTTCTTCATCATACTTAGAACATAGTGAATCTTCATGAGAATAGGAAACATCTGTAGCTAGAGTTTTCCTGCCTTGCCCACAGTCAGGACAAATCTTTGTCACCTGCCAGTCCTACAGCCGCTCAGACCCAACC